TCAGATTCGTAATTATATGAGTAAGTATTTAAAGAGGTTGAAAAGGTAAGATCATGAGTGAGGGAGGAGGAGGAGAAGAGATAGTCAAGGAAAGAGGAGGAGTTTATGGAAAAAAAGGTTGATAGGTAGGATTGATTGAAGATTTTTAAATTGTTCATTAAGCCGAGATTTTCAAGTTGAGTAAGGAAATACTGGTATCTTTTTTGTCTTGATGAAGAATATTTACGTTTGATATCAATGTTAAAATCACCCATAACTAGTGTTTGGATCCATATATCCATATTATCCATGGATATATATCTGTAATATAAATTTAATATCTATTATCCATATAAAAATTAAACCTAAATATGGATAATTTAAAAATAAATTGAATGGATAATCCATATTCATATTATCCATGAATAATACGGATAATACGGATAACATGAATAATACAGATAATACGGATTACATGGATAACATGGATAATATGGATAATACGGATTACATGGATAACATGGATAATATGGATAACATGGATAACATGGATAACACAGATAATATGGATAAAATGGATAACATTTATAAATACATAAAATTTTTATATATTTAATACAATATTTAATATATTTATTTATTTCAAATGATTAAAAAATACTTAAATTTCATCAAATTCATTATAAATTTCTGGTGAAAAAAAATTACCTATAACATTATGATTCTTTTTTAAAAATAAAAGCTTTTCAAAAAATTTTGGCTTTAATTGTGTACATTTTGCTGTCATTGTATTACCTGCTTGAGAAAATAATCTTTCACTGGATGCTGATGTAGCTGAAATTGACAAATATTTTTTGGCTAAATAAGATAAAATTAAAAATCTGTCTTAATTTCCTGCCCACCACTTATAAGAATCAGTTTTAAGAGATACTTGTAGTAATGAAAGATATTCATTAATTTCATTTTCAGTATTTTGACTTTCTGCAAAACATATCTATAAGTAAAGAATTATTTGATTCCAATAAATTTGAATCATAATTATCTGATATCCTTGTAGTATTAGTAATAAACTCTTCAGATTCCTTAATAAATTGATATTCATTACGTAAATAAGAGATTATTCTTTCTTTTTTTAAATTAGAAATAAAATTAAGGCCTTTTAAATGTGGATCTAGTAATGCTGATATCATTCCTTCTTTTGCTGGATTTTCCCAATAATAACATAATAAATGATATAAATTTTTTTTAACCTCTTCTTCTTTTCCTTCACAATTTAAAGGATTTTTAATTTTAATTTTTCTTTTTTTGTTTTGTGTTTTATTCATAATAACAATATCATCATCATTATCATCTTCAAATTCAACATCATCAAATGCATTATCATCATCAATTGTTAAATCTATTACTTCAACATTTTGAGAAATTACTTTAATTTGAAGAGTAGCCACAATATAATACATAAAAGATGCTGTTGCATATTTTTCACTACCTAATAATTTAGTTGCATCATAAAAAGGTTGAAGTATGTTAGTTAATTGTTTCATGAGTTTCCATTCATCATTATTAAGCATTATTTCTTTAAGACGTTTTAAATCTTTTTTAGTATCTGCATCAGATTCAGTATTCATAGTTGCAATTAATATATTAATTGCAACTATGGAGTTTAAGAAGACGTTTCCATGCAAAATAAGAAGAATTCCACCTTGTTTTTATGTCTTGAATTGTACGCAAATATTTGTGATTCTTTGAAAAATCCTAAAATAAAAATTTATATTATTATTTAATAGTATTATTAATAATTCAATAAATTAAGAAATATTAAAATAAATATGAAAATATTACCTCAGACTCATTTAAATGACATAATTATATTGCCTTCAAATGTTCATTTTGTTTTGGACTTATAAAAAATTTAATAAGTCGCTTTGCACATGCTATTAAGATTTCAACTGGCATTAAACATTTATTTACTATAAGGTTTAATGTATGAGCTGCACAAGGAATCCGAAATATATTAGGTAAAAGGTTAGAAGCTGCAACTATATTTTTACCATTATCAGTAGTAATACAAATAAAATTTTTTTCTAAACCCCATTCAGAAATTAGATTCAATATTGTTTGTGCAATATTTTGACTTGTATGTGGATATTCCATATATTAACATGTTAACATTATTTCTTGTAATTCAAATTCTTTGTTGATAAATGAACATGTAACACCAATATATCCTTGACGATCTCTAGCAGTTCATAAATCTGTTATGATTGAACAGAATTTTATAGTATTATCAAATAAATTTAGAAGTTTTTGTTTAGAATTATTATATGCTTTGGTAATAAGCTTTTTGATATATTTGTCACTTGGAAGAGTATAATAAGGATCAAGAGTTTTGACTAAATTAATAAATCCTCCATTCTTTAATATATAAAGTGGTTGCATATCATCAATTAAAAATTCTGTTAATGCTTCATCACACTCTTGCTTACGCTTAGGATTTTTTGCCCACTGTTTTTGAAACATTGCATTAATTTTTGTTTGAATAGGATTATTATTACTTTCTTTTTCAAATCTAAATATATTATGATGAGCTTCTAAATGAGACCAAAAATTACCAGTTGATCTATCTGTATTAATTATATGTCCACATATTTTTACATCTTTGCTTGTTTTAATTACTACATTACAAGAACCTTTTTTGTGTTTAGGTTTTGGTGAATCAAGTTTATTAAAATAACGCCATATATCTGTTTTATCTTCAGCTAAAACTCTTCTTTTCTTTCTTTTACTTGTTTCTATACCAACTGTATTATTAGTTTGAGCAGAATCACTAATATTAGCATTGTCTTCAATATTATTAAGTTCCATTATGTAAAACACTAAAATTGTTAAAGTGAAAATTTAAAATTGAATGAATAAAGTTTTCGCTAAAAATAAAAAAATAAAAAAAATCAATTATCTATATTGTATTATGAATACAATTATACAAATCGGAAATTGATTGAAAGAAATACCGGTTTTTTCATTTTTAAATTTATTTATTTAATAAATCTAACTTAATATATTTTTTTTATTTGATTTATTGAAATATAGAATACGAAATTAACCTCTTAAACTGAAACCTAATAAAATATAAATTATGAAGAATGCACACCTTCTTAACTTTTATTTATACTGCCTTTAAAATCCAGATTTGATCCTATTAGAGAAAATACTAATAGATACTATTGATCCCTTAGCATCTACACCACTCAGTATCAATTCATAATCAAAAACATGTGTTCTTTTACCTAAAAAATTACCAATAAGAAAAAATGTAAAGACACAAATAATCAACATAACGTCTATATTAATCAAAAGATTTTTTCACTAAAAGGCGTGACACAATGATTCAGCAGTTTAAACACAGTTCCTTGATCAGTTCTATCCAAATTATTTTCGAAAATTTCAAGGTTTGACCGTCAAGAATAAATGAAGAGCTATGACGAATTGGATCATATAATTTGAAATTTTGTAATGATACTAACTCCTCATCAAGCTTCAACTTTTTACGCAAAAGAAATTTCATTATCACAAGTTAAGGTAGGTAGTAGTATTTATCAAAAAAAAAAAATTAATAAAATTATACATTAAATTTTCTCGTAATATTTTTTAAAATAATAGATTTATCGAACGTAAATACCAAATTAGTCCTATTATAATTAGAAATTCGCATGATTTAAAACAAATAACAATAATGAAAAAGCTACTTTGATATTAAAAAAATTATACTTACCACCTAATGCGAACAACATCAAAGACCTGTTCTTAGCTGCTTTAATGGCTTTAGGCCAAATTTCTAATTTCATTGGAAGCAATTTGGTTAATTATATAATATCATTATAAATTTGTTTAGTAATAAAACAAAGGGTACCTGGGTCATATACATTATCACCATTTTCCATCGTCTCATCATCGTCGTCATCTTTCCAGTTAAATTTTGTTTATTGAAAAAATATCGAAAAAACCCAAATTCATCCTAAAATTCTCTTTTAGGTATGAGTCCAGTCCATATGGGATAATTAATACAGGTTTTTAAAATACGTTGTGAACGTTTATTAAGCATTTCCTATTAGAAAGATTTTAAAATACATAAATCAGTTTGCTTATAAAAAAATATGATTATTAAGTTCGCAAATACTAACTTTTTCATATACTATTTCTTTTGGTTTCACTTGCATGATTAAAGTTTTGAATTGAGTCTGATCAATGTCATCAACAAATGACATGAGGTTAAATTCACCAGTTGCCGTATCAACAAAACATATGCCATAAGCAGGTGGATCGTTTTTGTTGGACAAGACTCCTGTATATATAATAGTTAATGATTTGATAAATGAACGACGTGTATAAAATATATTTGAATGTAATACTAACTTTAATTGACATGCAATAAGTTGACATTTCATTAGTCAACAGTCCACCATCTACAAGAGTTCCGGCGGTAAGGATAGAAGTTAACTGACGTCTTATAACTTTTTCTTCCTGTAATACATCAAATATTTTTAATTCTTGAATTAAAAACCAAACAGGAAGAGAAAAACGAGCATGAATAAAAAATAATAATAACCTTTTTCTTGGTCGCTTTTTCGCGCATCTCTTTGCCTAGCGCTGTTTCCATTTGGTCAACCCTCGCAACTTTATGACTTTTGTTTTTAATAAATCAAGGAAAGTTATGTAAATATATAAAATTTTCCATTAATAGAAATAATCAGTAAATAAATTTATATACTCTTTTGCAATAAACTGATCTACCCAATGTTCAAAAGAAAATTTAGGTACACCGACCATTCACATATTAACACAGTCCGTAAGTTTAAGATCGAATTCCGTGTGATTTATATCTGCATCACGTTCATATAATTCTAAAAAGTTAAACCAATTAAAATTAATAAGAGAAATATTATCTAACGCTTGATAGCAAATAAAGAATAGCCAAAAATTATTACCGTAAAATTTTCCTTTCTTGAAGAATACAACCTAATATTAGAAGATTTATAAAGCACGTTATTAATGTTAATTAACCCTAACATAAAATTGAATCAATGGCATAATTCATATCATACAGTATCCCAGTGCTTAGACTTTATTTCCCAGAATTATTTTTCAAATGGAGTGAACTTGTCCTAAGAAGGTTTAAGAATATACAATATACGTGGGTCGTAATTAGGTGATCCTGTGATGACGATAATATTACAAAATTTGAAGATATGTAATGATTGTTGTTACCTTTGTTAATAAAGTTACCGGTGAAATTGATGTAGAATTTGAAATTGGCATTTTGTGTAGTCGAATTATGCATATTAATATTAACAACAAGGCTATCGATGTCAGTGGTAACATTAGAAATTTCATCCAAAGGGTTTTGCTTTTTGGATTCTTTAACCTTCTTTCTTTTAACATATTGCATGGTCCTTTCGATCATTGACAGTTGTTCAATTGTTAAGGCTTCCAAGAGTTCTTCAGTGCATGGGTCAGGTGTTAAGGGAGCAGATATGGTAATTACAGGTACGGCGGACATGTTGGAGGAGTTGTTGTAAGACTGCGAAGTAGGTAGAATAGCTGCAGAAGAGTGTTTGTCATTGAAACTTTCGTTCTTGTCACTGGCGTCGCAATTATTTCTGCTGTTGCAGCACCAATTCCAGCTCCGGCTAGCTGCACCCAGGCAGCAAAACCCATGACAATTGGGGAATGTAATCCTGAACAATGTTATTACTGTTGTTGTTGTTGTTGTTGTTGTTGTGTAGAGGTTGTATTATTAGTAAGAACATGACTTGTGGAATTTGTACCGCGTGTTGTTATAATTTGAGGAGTTAACGTATTTTGTGTCGTATGAATCGTTGGTGCGTTAGTATTAGAAATTTGTGGGTTTTCGTGCTGGAGAGGCTGTTGCATCTTTAAGATATTAAGTTAATAGTGTGAAATTTTTTTGCGAATGCAACAGGGGATAAACCAAAAAAAAATTCTTTGAAAAAAAAATTTTTTAATTAGAAACCCCTGAGAGTTATAATACTTTTCGATATATGAGAATGATACCTTCAGGATTTCCATCTAAATCTCAAACTTCTTGCAACCAGCTGTATCGGTCATCATTCTTTACTTTAAAATCTGCAGCATGTTGCTTCATAATAAATAAACACTTAGCTAAACTTATTATAATTTGCGTAAAAACCTCAATTGATTTATATCTTTTTTTCTCAGTATTGCTCATATGAGTTGAAGAAGAGAAGCTTGAGCCACGATGAACAGAAGAATTCGAGGCAAATTCCTAAATATAATATGAAAACTAAGCAAATGATTTTGTCAATGTAAAAAAAAGGCAAAGTTTCAGATTGAACCTTCAGTTTAGAAGCAGATTTTCCATTTTGATCACTATGAGAGAACTTTTTAATCATGCGCGTTGAATTATCTTTCATATCCTTGTCATCACTAGCAACAGGAGCAACATAGGTTTTATTGACACTGGTCAGACCTCGTTTATAAATCAGGTCCTGCATATTATTTGCACGAACCTAAGCATTAAAATATGGTTAGATTAGTTTTTTTCTTTCTATCATTTCTAACTTCACGTCATAACGTTTGAAAATTTTTTACCTAACTTATACCTAACATGATATATATCGCATCCAGTATATTTGTATTTTTCAGGCCCAATCTAGAAATATGCAAACCAATTTATATTATTTTGATGGCTATATGAATTTAGACTAAGTCTAAAATCGTACTCCATTACGGTTAGGTGAGTTGACTTTTTTCCACGTCTGATTTCTACAGGCTCAGCATATGCTAGAGAAACCATATTTTTGGTTTTTTTTACTTAAAGAGATTATAAAAAAAAGTATCTCATTCACCTGCCTATCCCATTATTTGATCAGTTCAGTGTGCATCCAAAGAAAAAGATCGTTTGTCTTTATTACAACAGCGACTATGATTTTATAATTTAAACTATGATAGATCCCAAAATATTAAAAGTAGGCCAGCGGATAGTGATAGAGTTGAAGAATGAGACAATTGTAGGAATGAATTATTTATTGGTCTGATTAGGTAAATCTATAAATGCTAACTGAATTATCCGCATATCCGATTATCCATGGATATATGTTATCCGCAGATTATCCGTGGATTATCTACAGATTATCTATACAAAATTATTTATCCATGGATACTATCTGAAGTAATAAAATGAGTATTCACAATCCGTTATCCATATGGATACACGGATTGCAGATTCACGGATCCAAACACTACTCATAACAATATGATGCTAATTTTTTGATTTGGCTTCTAAAATTAAATCAAGAATCTTTTGTTGTAATTTAAGTCTATATTGATGATCAGCATTAGTATGTGTATTAGAAGGAAGGTAGATTTGAATGATTTGAAGTTTTTGTTTGTTTTTCATTTGAAGATCTATGAAAATGATTCTATCAAAAAAACCTTGATAATTAAAGATATGTTTAGAAATAGAAGAGTGACAATAAAACCTATTCCTTGACAATTTTGGGAACGATTTTCGTTTAATAAAAAATATTTAAATAGGAGATCAGGTGATTTAAATTTATTGCAAATAGAATAAAATTGTTGCATGATCAAATGAGTTTCAGAGAGACCAAGAATGTTAAAGTTATGAAGTGAAAAAAATTGTTCAATTTGATTTCTTTTTTTGTTTGAAATACAGTTTCTAATATTATGAGTTGCTATTTTAAAATTGTTATTCTCTTCACTTAGCCTGTAAAAGAGAAATATATTTGATTATTGTGAAGTATTCATTAGGAAGTATTACAATATGTTTGTAAAAATTGCATCATAGCGTCTTTCATAATTTTGAGATCATTTTTGGTATTGCTGAAGTTATTTTATAACATTGAAATTTGTCTTTCTTATTGGTTGATCATTTGGTCACGTGATGAGGATGAAAGATATGATAAAATAGGAGAACGATTTTGAACAGGAACAAATTTGTTTGGAGAGGAAAAATCATTTTCATTGAGAACAAAATCGTTTGATAATGTATTATTTAATAGGGTTGGACTGCTGATGTGAAGTTGATTTTCAATGGTTTCGACTAAAGATAGGAATTGTAATTAATATGTTGCAATTAGTTTTAACCTATATATGTTGCAACTTATAATATTGCAACATATGTTGCAACTAATTTTAGCTTATGTTGCAACATTTTATAAATTTGAAATCAATTGCTATACCATCTTTAGTTTCGACTTAGTTGATAATATGAAGTTAGATTTGTTTTAATTTGACGCATGCATTCTGTGTTTTGATTAATTCATCTTCCAGTAATTGGAATTTATTTTCTATAAAGGTCAATTGTTCTATCATTAATTTAATGGAAGGGGTGACAGTTAGAGGAGGGGTTTGATTTTGTTTACCCGATTGGTTCATATAATTATCATTTCTATTTTGAATAGAGTCAGAATAAGATGGTCTTTTGGATTGATTATTTGAATCGTAATTTCGTGAAGTACTAGGTTTAAGTGTGAAAGGTTTAGGTCTGTATTGAGCTGATTTGAATCTATCATAAAGAGATTTAAACAGATTTGAACGAGGGTAATTGTCACATGATTAGACCTTGTGATCTAGAGAATTATAAGAGTTACAGTGTTGGATTTCAGAAGTAACCCAAAATAAGATACGATTTTTAAATTTTTGTTGTGAGTTAAAAGTGTTATCATAATCATCAATATTATCAAAATTAATGTATACATATGGTCTAAGATGATACTGTCAGATTCTTAGAATAAAACATGACTTTGCTTTGATCTGGGTTAAAAAATCAGAAAGATCTAATTGAATGGTATTAAAGGGAAGTCTAATGAATTTAAGTTCAAATTGTTAGCGAAGAGCAGTTTGAATTTCAGTAATGTTGGTAGGTTCAATTCTAACTGAAAATTCCATTAATAAGATAGACCAGATGTTATCATAAAATTGTTGAATGAAGTCAAGTGATTCATATATAATGAAAGTGATTTGCCAAGGACCTCTGATGATCATTGAAAATCTGCAGATCCTTCCATATTTTTCGAAACTGTTTCGTACAATGTCTGATTTTACAAATAAGGGAATATCATTGACTTTAATACATCTGCCTTTTTCATCGTCTTTGCGTTGTTGTTTGGCATTGGGGTCAATTACCAAAAAAATTGGATTGTATTGAGTTTCTTTAACTTTATCGGTTGCTTGTATAAGGAAGTCTAATGTATGAAAGTAAATATGAAATTTCCTTTGTCTAGTATTGTAATACAACTTCCTGTATCCTTCAAAATAGCTAAAAAGTTTGTTGATCGTGTAATGTTTTTCTGCAATTGAGGAACCAGTGATATTCTTTGTATCTGTAGACGCATAAAAACACGTTGGTGATGTGATAATGATAAAAGATTCATTGTTGACGTTATCATTTTTATCGGCGATGTATTATTCGTAAGGTTCAAAGTCTTCATCCCAGGTTACTTTCTTTTTTCCCTTGGTATCAGAAATTTGTGTATCCATATTGTCTGATATAGGAGAAGAGGTAGAGTTTGAGGGAGTAGTATGCATAGAGTCATTGGTGTATTGGTCAATTAAAACAAGAGTTTATGGGTTGTCTATTTCCATAACAGAGTCTTCTTTATTTTCGTTTGAGATTTTGGAGGTAATAATTGATATATCTGAGTCGATAGTTTGATTGTTGGAAGGGGTAAGAATAATATTTTCGATAATGTTTTTTAAATTATTTGGAGAAGGAGAAGAAAATTTTTTCGTTTGTTTGGGGTTTCAGTATCAAAGTTGTTTGGGTTTTTCATTTGAGAGATAACAGGTATTTGTAGTGAAGTATTTTAAGCGTTTGAAGTGGAAAGTTCAGTAAAAGTATTTTTATTTTGTGTATTTTTGTTTGAATTTTTTGTTTGTTTAGTGGTGGTCATGTTGAAGTATCAAAATCGGATCAGTAGATCAATGAAAAATCGATCTACAAGATCGCTCTATGCTATATATAAATATGGTTAGACACATTTTTATTATAATATCGTAACGATGTTCTTTATCGATTTTTCACTGATCTACTGATCTGATTTGAACGAATTTTAGCTTGTTAGAATCGTGGCACTAAGGAGAATCTGAATACAGTATCAGTTTTTGGGTAGTCGGTCTACTGAAAAAATATTTATACACTTAAATTTCATTAAGTAAGAATTTTGATGTAGATCGCTAAATTGCGCAAAATTGGTCTTAATAATCGCATTTCAAATCCTTACTGAATATTAGCTAGGTTTTGAGGTTTAAAACAAATACAAAACTATGTTTCTAGCATTCATGGTTGGTGAATTATAAGCTTTTAAAGGCAAGTAACTCTACTTGCGTTTCTTTTGTTGCCCACTGTATAACTTAAATTATTATTATATAAAAATAATTTAAATGATTTGAATAATAAATTATTCATTTTCATTATTTATATAAATTATTTATTTATTTTATTATTATTTTATTTATTTTTTTTATTTATCTTATATATGATATTTTATTATATTTATATATTTTATATTGATAATAAAAATATATAATTAATTTATATAAATATTATTAGAATTTTTAAAAGTAAAATGTATTTGAAAAAAAATTTAATTAATATTTTTATATATAATTAATTATAATTATAAAAATAATAAGATGTATCAGCTAATATAACAATTTAAAGAATAATAAAACAGCAAAGTATTTTTTTAAATTAACTTTATTACGGTCAAACCTTAATATAACAAACTCTTGATATAATGTATTTTTAATATTTAACCAATTAAATATGTTAAATATATCTTATTATAATGAATCAGCCAATTAAATTCTTTAAAAAATTCATTATAATGAAATTAAGATTTAGACTTTAGGATTTGTTATATTAAAAGTTGATTTTTTAGAAATTATTCTTTGTGTAAAATATGTTACAATCAAATTATTATTAAGAATTTATTATTGAATAATTAATTAAAAGAATTATTTCAAATTTTTAGGTTTATTGAAATTAAATAATGATCTATTTAAAAAATTTTTTTATCTTAAAATTTAAATATTTTTGTCAAATTCAACTCATAAATATCTTTTAATAAGAATTAATAAATTAGAAATCTTAATAAACAATTATTATTTAAAATTAAAAATGTTTAATAAAAGATTTACTGATCAAAAAAATTGTAATAAATTTATAATAGAAATTGCTAAACAAGTATAAAATAATTATATAAAGATATAATAATTTTAATGAAAATTATAAGCAATTTTATTTAAATAGTATTTTATAAAATTAAATTATTATAAAGTTGGTAGAAACTCTTATTTAGAATAAAAATAAATATTAATATGAAAAAGAAAATCTTTTTAAGTATAAAGTAACAGTTTATGTTATTATAAATTAAATTATCTATTTAAAATATGTATCTGCTATTACCCTATAAATATTTCTGCTGTTACCGGCTAAAAATCCATTATTGAAAAGTTGATTTACACAGAATTATCAAATAATCTACAGAAGTTACTGAAATTAATTTTATGTTGATTATAAATTAGAAGATCTGCATAATTCTGGATCCATAGGATTCTTAAGATTCTTAGGATTTACTGGATTCACATGATCATCATAATTTATTGGATTTTCATAATTCCCAGTATTTCCATTATTTTAATTATTATTCTATTATTATTTCTGTTATAATTATTATATCTATTATTATTATTATTATATTAGCACTTCCCTATAAATAATCAGTATAAGGAAAGTATACGGCAATAATACGTTTAAAAAACATATAAAAA